TCTCCCTAAGTTGAAAAAAAAAGTTTATAAACTCTTCCACTTTAGTTATTTTAGATACCCAAATTAACTATGAAACCACAATAACTAATGCTTATGGTATTAAGACCATGCAAAAGGAAACCATGAATTACCGTCATAACCTCTCAAAAGTTATGAAACAACAAAAATAATATGCAAAATTAAACCATAATGATTACACAAGATATAAGTTTCTATGAAAATAGACATAATTGGGTGAGCAAAAAATATGACGTTTTAATTTTTAGAGCTAAATAATATTTTTATAATAAATTATAAAAAATATGTTTGTAAAAGAAATTGTTTATTACGCATCCCAAAGTATTCAATGTTGGAAAAATATTTAATTAAAGAAATAACAAATTAAATGTCTTTAAATAATGTGTACTGTATATATAAGTCTACCTATAGATGCAACTGTGAATGAGTAATTCTTTAGACAAAAGACCTGAAGCTAGCAAAGCAGGGTTTTCCATTGGAGACCACTCTACAATAGTTGCCAAGTTGAAATGGTCCTTCACTTTTCCATTCGAGAACACTCTACAATAGTTGCCATGTTGAAATGGTCCTTCACTTTCCCTGAAACAAATATATGCTATTTAACATGCAAGATGACAAAAAGTTATCTAATTCCAACTCCATTTATCTCATAACTACGGAATTAATGTCAATCTCCAGAGCAGAAGCAATGTTTGTTTCTTTGTAATTTTCTATTTGGTTTGTAAATATAACTCTAGAACTGGACTGTAAACAGTGACAAATGAAATGCATGGATTACTCTTCTTGAACTTGATGTATATTCTTGCTTAAATTTTGTATAAATAATCAAACTCTTACCCCAAATAATATGCATTTTACAACCACAGCATTTCTAACCTTATTATAATTCCAACTGAGGATACATAATATTCATATATGAATATAAATATATGCGTATTCATATATGAATACATCACCTCCATCCGCCACCAACCACCACCACCGCCACCAACCACCATCGACCACCACCGCCACCTCCTCCACCACCACAACAAACCACCGACACCTCCGTCACCACCTACCGTCGTCATATTTGTATATGAATAACTAGTTCCGTTATACTTATTCATATATGAATATACTAATTCATATATAAATACACGTATCCATATATGAATATGATCTTTTCCGTCGGGCCGGTAGGCTGGAGCGCTTAAGTGGCAGATTCGAAATAAGTAGCTCATATTCATTCCCTTATTTTCAATCTTTTTTTTCTCAATTGAACTCTCTCTCTCTCTCTCTCTCTCTCTATATATATATATATATATATAGATATATATATATATATATATATATATATATATATATATAATATATATATATATATATATATATATATATATATATATATAGGGCTAGGTTATAATGTTCTCTCTCTCTCTCTCTCTCTCTCTCTCTCTCTCTCTCTCTCTATATATATATATATATATATATATATATATATATATATAGGGCTAGGTTATAATGTGGATGAACAACTATTGTGTGGACGTGTGGACAATGTTATTCTATGAGAATTATTAAGAGAATAAGTTGTTTAGTAATGTGAATACGTTCAACCTTACACAACTATCGTCATTTTCATGCATTCTCACTAATTCTTATTCATTTTTGTTCTCACACATCGTTTTTCACTCATTTTCATTCTTACAGAATACAACTCAATAAACATTCTGACAACATTCCGACAGAATGAAAATAATAATAATAAGTCTATAATAACCTTGTAGACGATTTAATTAGTAAGAATGTGTGATAATGACAGTAATTATTTAAAATTGAACGTATTCATACTATCAAACAACATCTTTTCTTTGTAATTCTCACAGAATAACACTATCCACACGTCCGCACAATAGATGTCAATCCACATTTAAACCTAGCTTTATATATATATATATATATATATATATATATATATATATATATATATATATATATATATATAGGTTCATTTGAGACCATGTTAATTTTATGAGACATGGGGACGTGATTCTAGCCACTCATCTTGAAGATCAAAAAAATATAAATAAAAATTATAAATTGCAAAATAAACGGAAAAATCCAAAAAAAAAAAAATTAATATTACTTTCGTTATTTACACTACAAGAAAAAGACTCTTTTACGACGCGCAAACCACGACACTCATTGATTTATGTTACGCAAAAGAGAGTGACATTAAAAAAGTGTCATCTCATCAAAAAATTCAAGTATTTAGGTCACGCATTATTGTGTGCCCTTAAATTAGTGTCATAAGAAAAAAAACACAGAGGGTGCTGTATCTTAAATGCGCGTCCTCTATAAGTGTCGCTTTATAATTTTAGTGAACGCGCGTTTAGTAGATACGGGGGAAATGAAATCCCCAAAATTTTGAAAACCCGCCTTGTTCTTTTCTACCTTCTTTCTATCTTTCATCTTCGCAATCGATTCTCCCCTCTCCCTCTTCTCCAATCCGCTTCTCTGCTACTCTTGACCTTACTTGTTAATCGTCTCATGGAATCTCTGCTCTAGTGTCACTCTGAAGATCAAGAAATTTCAAGCCCTAGTCTCCCTTAGTCTCCCTCTGAGACAGAGACAAAAAGAGAAGAAACATGAAGAATGCACCTATTGTTTTTACGACTTATGATGCTTCTCAAAGCTTTTGATAAGAACACCGACTCAGATGCTTCTCAAAGCTTTTGATAAGCACCCCGCCAGCTTTGCATACCAAAACATCGCATAATCTTTTGTTTATCCGCATGTGTTTCTTGCAACAGGTGTATTTTTCATTCTCTAAACCTCACTCCATATCTCGATTTGTATGATTTATAGCCCTAATTTCAATTGCTAGATTTTGCACATGCTCGCACGCCTTTTTCCGGTCATCCTTCTACCTAGGTACTGTTGTTTCTTCCATCGGTCCCTCCGATTGGTCTTCTTCTTCATCACCATCTACTGAAAGACTCATTGATTTTGTCGATTATGGCTTCGAATTCAGTTCCATCCAATTCTCCACCAGGTTTCTCATTTGTTCTCTATAAATCCCCCTTTACCACCATTAGGTCTGCAGCCACACGACAACCACTCACCACCGTTCCTAAGTCCATCACCACCTATATAAATCTCGATTGTTCTCTCTTTTCTCCTCTCTCATCCTAACATCGCCATATCAATATTGAATTGAAATCTTCTACAATTTCTTTTAGGGCTTTCTCTCCTTAAACCCAGAAAAAGCCACTGTTTCTGGGTTCTTTTAGGAAATTTGTACACCAAATGATAAGAATCATTCTCCTGGAAATCCAGATGTATTAAGTGAGAAAATATTGCCCTATTTTTGTCGTTCTACCATTTTTCATGTTGCTCCAATTGCTAAGTGTGCACCAGTTAATTTATGCAAATTATATATAGGCTTTAGAATCTTACTAGAACATAGAAGACTGCATTTAGTTGGATTTTCTCAGTTGCTTTATGTGAGTTTTTTACCAATGCATCATGGAATCTGATTGCTTATTTATCCATCACTTATTTTCTCGATTGACAGGAGCTATACTATGACCCAGATCTTGGTGTATCACCAGTGAATTTTCGTGATGTTTTGTTGCATAGTCAGGCTCTTGAAGGCCTAACAATGTCTATGGGAAGTAATCCTCAGAAAAGTCTTCTCTAGTATTTGTACTTAATATTCGTTTATAAATAGTAAGGCACCTAAAGTCATTTCATCATTTCATGTGAATTTTAATCTTTTTGTTTGTCTTTAGTTCATGATGCATTCTTTGAATACTATATCAGTTGATTATTTTTGCTGATTCATGGAGTTTAACCGCAGATTCACTCTTTTGTCTGACTCAGATTGTTGGAGCACCAAACAAGGAAGAAATCTTGCTACTACATGAGCTATTTGGGTGATATTTCTTACTTCTATGATTCATTTGTTTTGACCCTTTATGTGTGCTGACTGTTGAATAAATGCTTACCTAGAAGGATTTTCTAACATACAAGTTCTTCCGAAACATGATGTGGTTTGAATATCAATCAAATTTAGCTGTTATCTTTACCCCTCTTCTGGATGTAGGCTGTGTCTTACAGGAGGGGAGGAAGTTCATGATGTAATTGTGAACAGGATCCTAGATTTGTCAAAAGCTTTCTCAGTTTATGATGATGAAGTGCTGGTAAGGTTGTTATTTAGTCACTTCAAATTTTGCTTTCTACAGGATATGACCAATAATGTTTATACACCAAGACTTTCCTGTCTCGGGCAAAAAGGAAAGAATTGCTTCAATTTGCTCAAGATGCAATTGTTGGGCTGAAATTAAATGTGGACATATTGAGATCGGTAAGGAATTAGTTTCATGTTGCTTGCATGTATTTAGTTTCAAACTCCCTCACATACCTTTAGGAACAAGCTTTAGTGCATACATTATACTCTGGGAATCATAGAGAGTGGAATCTTGTGTTTGATTATATGAAACATGTCCAAACAGAGTGCATATATATATATATATATATATATATATATATATATATATATATATATATATATAGGTACATTAGCGTACACTCACTTGTGAAGATGTCTTGTCACTTATGATGGTTAAATTAACTAGACAAAACTTTAAAAATGGTCCCTGTGGTTTTTGAAAATATCAAGTTTAATCCCTAAGTTCAAAAAACCTCACAGATGGTCCCTGTGGTTTCAAAACTTTTAACATTTGGTCTTTCCGGCTCACTCCGTTAGCATTTCACCGTTAAATAAGGGGAATTTTTGTCATTTCACTACCCAGGGATCATTTATGAGGTTTTCAATTACTTTTTTAAAAAATAATAATAATAAATGAATAAAATTTAATATGCAAAGGGTCACACACACACACACACACACACACACACACACACACACACACACACACACACGGTCTATAAGACCTCCCTTACCCTCCTCCCATTTTATCCACCTTTAACAACCATTACTCCACCATAGCACCACCACTGCCACCACCTTCTTCCCCACTGGAAACCGACATCCCTACCCTACTGCTGCTGCCGGAGCTCTTTCTTCCACCATCTACAACCCTCTTCTTGCACTACCGAGAAATACCACCATCAAGGGTGGTGTTGGTGTTTTGTAACTACCGAGAACCACCGTGGTTCTCCATCTTTTGCCATTGACCGGAGAAGGCTTCCATTCACCACCCAAGACCACCTCCCCTCGTCACTCTCCCCCATTTCTCACTTCACTGGTGACGATGACCACCAAAATCGATGACGGCAGTCCCTCCGCCTCCTCCTGTCATAGCCCACCATCATTAAATGTCGTCGTCACTCCTGCTTCCCCATGGACCCTTGTCGAACACCAGCCAACAGAAACGAAGCAGCTAGGTCACCATTGCCATCGCAACCCACCACCATCTTCAACCGCTACCACCATCACCGTTTTCTACCACCATCGTTGTATCTGTTGTTGTTGGTAAGCCATCGCTACCCTTGTTAATTTAATTCTGATGTCCAGGCTACCTCCGATCGTAACCACGAGACCCTGCAATTGGGTCTCGTTCCATATTTAGGACCTGCAACACATGATGAAAATGAAGGGATGATACTGTTCAAAGTTTGTTTCCATTTAATTAATTAAACCTTTGAGTTTGCTAATGTTGCGAATTAAGCCCCTCTCCTGAAATAGATCACCATTTAAAATACGAGAGAGACCATTTGCATATTAAATTGTAATCATTTATTATTATTATTTTTTAAAAAAGTAATAGAAAACCTTATAAATGGTCCCTGGGTAGTGAAATGACAAAAATGCCCCTTACTTAACGGTGAAATGCTAACGGAGTGAGCCGGAAGGACCAAATGTTAAAAGTTTTGAAACCACAGAGACCATCTGTGAGGTTTTTTGAACTTAGGGATTATACTTGATATTTTTGAAAACCACAGGGACCATTTTTGAAGTTTTGTCAATTAACTATAATCAAGAAAAGGGAACCACTATCATGGCTATAAACTGTCAAACCGAAAACAATGTGAAACCTTTAGATGCTCTGCAAGCTTCATGACGGCGGATTGGACGATTCCATAGTTGGGAGAGACGGAATCGGGAAGTTCTGGTAAGCACACAGGGACGTAATGGTCATTTTTTTCTCGACGCCGGAAACAGGTAAGAACAGATAAGAACAGATAAGGTAAGAACAGATCGACAGAATATAAATCTGTGAAATAAATAGAATCAGTAACAAGATTCAGAGTCTAAATGCAACATGCTCTCATTTGCTTGTGTATTTTATAAAAGTGTAAAATAACCTGCTTTTACCATTTTATCGATATGCACAATGAACAGTTACTTTTATTGATTTAGCCTCTGAACTATTATTATAATAATTATAAAAAGCATAGCTAAATCGATAAAATGGTGTTTTATGTACGTTAACATTTTTTGAAAAAATTATTAAATGATAATAGTTTTGTTATTGTGATGTAGAAGACAAATTACCTGAGAATAATCCTTCGCAACAAAGGTTCAGATGGGCCCACACTAGATCCAGGGTAGTTGTAGTACAAAGTATTGTTTCCCACTCTACAAAGGCACCTGAAACAATACTTTCCGCATCTTCCATCAAAATCCTGGAAGCATACAAAGTGACAAACAGATATCAAAAACAAATCTTGGAGTTAAACTATGTAAATAGTACCATCATCATTGAAGTGTTTGTGCTGCAGTTTTGGGTTTGAAAAGTTACTCTTTTGCATCATATGTCAAAAAATGGGGGGTATTTTCAAAAAATAGACACAAAAAAATTGGATTTCCGGATATAGACATGGATTCCGCGGAATCTACTGTAGCTCCGCGGAATGGCAAAATCGTAAATAAATGAGTGTATTACAAAAAAAATCCCTCAAGATCCATTCTGCGGAGCTACCTCCGAGGAATGAACTCATTCCGCGGAGGTAGCTCCGAGGAATGGATCTTCAGTTTTTTTTTTTCACATCAATTCTTCGAGGTTTATATTCATTCCCCAACTAATTATTTTTAAGCAATGATTATCATACTATCATAATCTTTTTCTTGAAAATAATTAGTTGTGGAATTAATATAAACCCCGAAGAAACGATGTGAAAAAAAAATCTAAATATCCATTCCGCGGAGCTACAGTACATTCCGCGGAGCTACCTCCGCGGAATGCATGTCTATACCTGGAAATGTCCATTTTCATGTCTAAATTTTGAAATTACCCCCCATTTTTTGACTATTGCCGGTATTTTCCCGAAAATGTATTGCTAGATGAATTTTATCCATTTTAAATGAAGTATTGATGTACAAATCCCTATGCATTTATTATAACTACTTCTGACTACTACTAACTGCACAATTTGATTTACCTGTTTCATGATTCAACCCCAGAATAGATTCTGAAGTCTCAGAAATACATAGGAACTTGAAAAAGTTTGAACATCATGAATTTTCAATTGAGAGCGATCCAACTTCTTCGGATGCAAAAAACGATGTAACATTCGAGGTATTTGGAACATGCCCTTACAATACCATTTGCTGGAACCCAAAGGGAAAGTGTATCCTTTAAAAAATTTACTTTTTGTATTTTTTCCTAAGAAAAAAAAGTCTGTTTTACCCTTAATCATTTCTTCTCTAGTTATATGTGTTGCATGCTATGGTAAACTGCCATGTGACATGGTATGCTTATCATCTTTCCTCATTATCACAATTTTTTTAGTGTTTTGTTTTGAATTACAATTGAAGGGTATTTTAGACATTTGAGTAATAATATAATATTGTTCAGGCTTTCTGGGACTATGTTGAGAAAAACCAACTTGGAGCCACTAAAGCTGAATGGTCAGTAACAAGCGAATGGTCTCCTGATGGACTTTATTTCATGACTGCTACAACAGCTCCAAGGCGACAAATTAACAATGGGTATTATTTTTTTTTTATAACATTATTTATAATTTTAAAAAAATCAATTTGCTAATAAAATCTTTCATCACAATTTGTTAACAATCTTAGATTTTAGTCTTAAACAATTTCTATAGGGGCCCAACGGGTCAACTTTTCACAGAATCTAATAACATTGCAAGATTGGTCAAAATTCAATAGAACTTTTAAAAATATCAAGGTTCTCTTACATTTAATTTTGTTGAAGTCATATGACATTTCTTGTTGCAGGTTATAAAAGAATTTGTTTCCCTCATTCGACTATTTTGTAGGCTGGAGTCGCTTCTACTTAAAAAGAAGTTGTTGAACGGTGGGGATACACCAAATGATCATGCTTGTAAAGTAAGATTTTCCCTAATTTCCATTTTGTAAGCTTTTGTTATCAGTTACTGTAGGGTTAGGAACAAACTTGAAGTCCCTATCTTTATGCTTTATGCTTTAGTTATGAATAAGCTAAAGAAAGGCATACAAGATAATATTATGGTGTATGTTTTTCGGCCATGGTACAGTGTTAATTGTGAGACTAGACTTCTTATTGGAAGTCTAGAGAAACATTATCGAGTCTGAAGGTTATAGATTAAGCCAAAAGTAAATTGCTACTTTTACAGAGGGGAAAAGATTTGAAGATGAATTACACCTTAAGTTGAGAAGGAAAAATGTCAAAGATTGATATAGATAGTATGTTTTTGTTTTCCAATTTAGAAAAATGTGTAGAAATTGCTTCAAGGGATGGTATTTAGTGTAACCTGAATGTTTATACTAATCTCTAGAACATTAAATAGTTAAGTTTTTTTTTTGTTTAATGATTATGCAGATTGATAAACTAAAAGTTCTTTCTGAATCTCTTCTAAGCTCAGCATCCAATTCTAAAAAGCGTGTATCGGATCATCGGTAATTAGTTATCTCACTTCTTTTCTCTTTGTATTTATTTATTTATTTGTATAGTCAACACACTACTGATGTTAACTTGTGAAAGTTCATTAACTTATAATTTTTTTTGTTTTCATGTTTTTCTCATATATAAAATATCCTTGATTTGGTTGCATTGTGCAGCGAACTTAAGTTTAATTACAGTAGTTTTTTGATCTCTCTCTCTCTCTCTCTTTATCTCTTATTGTTGTCTGAATATGATACAGAAAATCTTTTCTTTTATTTTATAACAATGATAAATTCCTTTAAACCCTATAATATATCCACCACTGTTTTGTTATTAGGAAACAAAAAGAAGAAGCCCTTTATTTTCGTGTAGCCAAAACTAGTGAAGTCACCCAAATTAAGAAGGTATGACCTTTCAAATTCTCATATTATGAACCACTTCAAGAAGACTGAAAATGTCATTGCAATTTCCAGGAGTTGGGAGCTGAAATTAGTGAGCTTGAAAAGCAATCTCATATTATAACATAGATTGATGATGCTTGAAGCCTTTTCGAATACTAATGTGTTGATGATGAAAACATGTATCATGTGGAAACAGAAGAAGCATAACAATAAGAAGTAGAAACAAGAAGGTGTTCCTTAATAGCAATGTAGTATTAGGTTATATAGTTAGGGAAAACCTCTTAACAGCAATGTACAATTAGATCCCCTTAATACCAATGTATTACAATTTTTTGACATGATGTTATTAGATGAAATTGATTGTTTTGGTATATATTTGTTTCCATATTTTTGTATTATGCGTAAATGTATATCGTAAATGGTTGTTGAAGTTTATGACACGCAAATGCATGTCATCTTCTTTTATGACAGGGGCTTTAATGATACACTATGCGTGTCCTAAACGCGCGTCGTAAGGTTACGACACGCAAATGTATGTCATCTTTCTTTATGACAGGGCCTTCCTTGACACGCAATGTGTGTCGTAAACGCGTGTCGTAAATGCTTGTCGTAATTGCGCGTCGTAAAAAGACGACGCGCAAAAGCGTGTCGTCTCTCGTTATGACAGGGTCTTCCTTGACACGCATTTGCGCGTCGTCTGAGCGTTTTACGACACGCATTGCGCATCGTAAAAGACTGTTTTTCTAGTAGTGTTAATTTATCCAAAAAAATAATAAATAAATAAAATAAATAAATAAAATCATTGTTGTTTTCGAAATATGAGTGAAATATGTTAATAGAATATTACACTGTAAATAATCAAATCGAATTTTTAAAATGTTAGAATATTCTACTATTCTACTAAAATTTGTAGATATATTAAAATATTCAAACATTCTACTTAAATTGTTTGGTTTTTTAGAATATTCTAATATTCTATTAGAATTTTTTGAATAGTCATAGTTTAATATTCTAGTTGAATATTCTAAAATTTTAAAAGTTCGATTTGAATATTTACAGTATAATATTCTATTAGAATATTAAATGTATATTTTGAAAAAAAGGTAAATTTTTTGTTTTTTGTTTTTTTTGGATAAAATAAATGACAAAAATAATATTTAAAAAATAAGAATTTCGAAAATTTTCATTTATTTTGCTATTTAAAAATACTTTTTTTTATCTCCAAAACAAATGGCTAGGATTGTGTCCCCTGTCTCACAAAATATGATGGTCTTATATTAACCTAACTATATATATATATATATATATATATATATATATATATATATATATATATATATATATATATATAGGGGGGGGACAGTTCACTTGAGATTAAAAAAAGTAGAGATCTTGAAATTCAACCTAAGTCATATATTTCTCATTTGCCGTTCTAACGCTCCAGTGTATCGACAGCAGCAGTTTATGCTTAATCATAAATGATTATACATATATGTCTATTAACAGACTGAGTAATCATATATGATTATGACGGTTGGTGGCAGAAAAGGTGATGATAACAGAGGTGACGGTGGTATAAGTGACGGAGCCACGGAGGTGACATTGGTAGGATCGACTGGTGTCAGAGGTGGTGATAGTGGCGATGACGGTTGTGGTGGTGGGGATGGTGGTAGAGGAGAAAGGAACGGGCGACGCTATATAATCATTTATGATTATAACAGGCCTACCGCGCCGGTACGCCGGAGGGTTAGAGCAGCAGACCTGAAATATGTGGCTGAGGTTGAATCTAAAGATCTCTATTTTATTTTTAATCTCAATGGAACCTACCTATAGATATATATATATATATATCTATATATATATATATATATATATATATATATATATATTATATATATATATATATAGGAGACGGTTAATTGAGATTATAAAAAAAGTAGAGATATTGAGATTCAACCTTAGCCACATATTACTCATTTTTGCCGCTCTAATGCTCCAGCGTACCGGTAGCAACGAGGTATGCCTAATCATAAATGATTATATGACAAAGAGGTATAATCATATAGGATTATACATGTTTATACGTAAAT